CTTTAACTACCCTGACATCAACTGGGAGACAAACTCCGCACCAAGTGGAAGATCAAACAGGTTCCTGGCAAACCTAGCAGACAACTTTGTCTCCCAAAAAGTAGAGAAGGGAACTAGGGGATTAGCCATTTTGGATCTAATTCTCACTAACAGAGATGAAATGATAGACGGTGTTGAAGCCATAGGAACCCTGGGAGGAAGTGATCATGCAATATTAGAATTCAACATTATAGAAGCACAACCAATAGAATACAGTCAAACTAGAGTCTTGGACTTCAAGAGAGCTAATTTCAATAAACTTAGAGAGGGCTTGGGAAGGATTCCATGGATGAGAATCCTCAAGGGGAAAACAACTCAAGAAGCTTGGGAAATTTTGAAAAATGAGATAATAAAAGCACAGTCTAGCACAATACCAACCAAGAGGAAAAATAACAGCTCTCAAAAGAAACCAGCATGGCTGCATAAAGAACTCTCTGACAAATTGAAAGATAAAAAGGACAAGTATAGAAAGTGGAAAGAGGGGAACATAACTAAGTCAGAATATCAGCAAATAGCCCGAGCCTGCAAAGATGAAGTGAGAAAGCCAAGGCTCAAAATGAACTAAGGCTTGCGACCAAAGTCAAAAATAACAAAAAAAGCTTCTTTCAACATGTAAAAAACAAGAAAAAGTGAAGGAAATGATTGGTCCATTAGTGGGTGAAAGTGGCAAGAAGGTGACAAGCAACAGGGAGAAAGCAGAACTATTTAACTCATTTTTTGCATCTGTCTTTACACAAAGGGAAAAAACAGACCAACCTATCAAAAATAGTGCCATAAAAAACAAAACAGAAACACAAGTTAAGATAGGCAAGAAAATCGTTAGGGAGCACCTGTCCAGCCTAGATGAGTTCAAATCGCCAGGACCAGATGGATTACACCCCAGAGTTCTCAAGGAACTGGCAGATGTGATATCGGAGCCACTGAACTATATTTTTCAAAGATCCTGGAACACAGGGGAACTACCAGAGGACTGGAAAAGAGCTGATGTAGTTCCCATCCTCAAAAAAGGAAAAAAAAATGGATCCAGGAAATTACAGACCTATCAGCCTGACCTCAATACCTGGGAAGATCCTGGAAAAGATAATCAAACAACGAATCAACGAACACCTAGAGGCAAACAAAGTCATTACTAAAAGCCAACATGGGTTTGTCAAAAATAGATCATGCCAGACAAATCTTATTGCATTCTTTGACCAAGTGACAAAATTAGTGGATCAGAGGAATGCTGTGGACATAATTTACTTGGACTTCAGTAAGGCATTTGATAAAGTAGATCACAACCTACTACTTGACAAGATAGAAAAATGTGGGGTAGACAGAGAACCACCACCAGATGGATCCGTAGCTGGCTGACCGGCCGTACTCAGCGAGTGGTCCTCAATGGAACTGCATCTATATGGAGGGAAGTGTGTAGTGGGGTGCCCAGGGCTCTGTTCTGGGCCCAGTACTCTTCAACATCTTCATCAACGATTTGGATGAAGGGATAGATGGGGAACTCATCAAATTTGCAGATGACACCAAGCTGGCAGGAATAGCCAACACTCCAGAAGACAGCTTCAGATACAGAAGGATCTGGACAGACTTGAACACTGGGCACTAACTAACAAAATGAAATTCAATGGTGAAAAAAGCAAGGTTCTACATTTAGGCAAGAAAAACCAAATGCACAAGTACAGCATAGGTGGCACCATGCTCAATAGTAGTAACTGTGAGAGGGACCTCGGAGTCCTAGTAGACAATCACTTAAATATGAGCCAGCAGTGTGCTGCAGCTGCCAAAAAGGCCAACACAGTGCTAGGCTGCATTAACAGAGGGATAGAATCAAGATCACGTGAAGTATTAATACCACTCTTCAATGCCTTGGTAAGGCCACACTTGGAATACTGCATCCAGTTTTGGTCACCACGATGTAAAAAAGATGTTGAGACTCTAGAAAGAGTACAGAGAAGAGCAACAAAGATGATTAGGGGACTGGAGGCTAAAACATATAAGGAACGGTTGCTAGAATTGGGTATGTCTAGTTTAACGAAGAGAAGGACAAGGGGGGACATGATAGCAGTATTCCAATATCTCAGGGGCTGCCATAAAGAAGAGGGAATTAAGCTATTTTCCAAAGCACCTGAAGGCAGGACAAGAAGCAACGGGTGGAAACTCATCAAGGAGAGAAGCAACCTAGAACTAAGGAGAAACTTCCTGACAGTGAGAACAATTAATCAGTGGAACAGCTTGCCTCCAGAAGCAGTAAATGCTCCAACACTGGAAGTTTTTAAGAAGAGACTGGACAGCCATTTGTCCGAAATGGTGTAGGGTTTCCTGCCGAGCAGGGGGTTGGACTAGATGACCTCCAAGGTCCCTTCCAACTTTACTATTATTATTATTATTATTATTATTATACCACAGCAGGTGGGAGGAGGTGGTACAGGCGATTATGCCACCCTACCAACAAGGGGTGGCTCGAGTGATTCCTCGCCAGTTGATGGGTGATCTAAACCAACAGCTACTAAAGGCCGTTCGGAGTGATCCCTGGTTGAAAGACCACCCCGGCCTCTTGACACAAAGGGACGGTTTAGCTTGGAAAGGCAATAAACTGTACCTACCAGAGTTACTGAGACACATGGTTCTCAAGCAGTGCCACGACGCCAAGCAAGTGGGACATTTCGGCTTCCTAAAAACATTACACCCCTTGCTGTGTACACCCCAGGAGCAGATGGCCTGAGTGGAAGGTTTGTGGGCTAAGGTTAAGGAAGCATTGGTAAAGGCAGGGGTGGAAACAAAGGCACAGGCTGATAAAAAAAGGGCTGAGCACAAACCCTTTCAGGTCGGTGATTGGGTATACCTATCGATCAAGTACCTACGTTTGAGGGTGCCCTGTAAGAAGTTGGGTCCTACGTACGTAGGGTCCTTCAAGGTACTTCAGGTCATAAACCCGGTAACCATACGGTTATGGCTGCCTCGGGCTTTCCGGAAGGTGCATCCTGTATTTCATGGGAGTTTGCTGAAGCCAGTAACAGGTTTTGCCAGGGGCCCGGTGGCCACCCCATCAGCCCGGTTTCCGGTGACCAGTTCAAGATACAAGAAATCCTGGATTCCTGGAGCCGCCATGGATGGGTCCAATACTTGTTGAGGTGGAAAGGGTACCCTCTGTCGGAAGCATCGTGGGTGCAGAGGGAGGATGTCCATGCCCCGTGACTGGTGCGGGCCTTCCATCACTAGCACCTCAGAAAACCGGGAGGAGGAGCCGTGGAAGGGGCCGATTGAATTGTCGCACGCTCACCTGTCTCTATTTGCCTTCCAGGAGGGGACCTGGTAGAGGGGGCTGCCTCTCAAGCCCCTGGGCTTGCCATGGGCCGGGAGATGGGGAGCACACAGCTAGCAGGGTGCCTCTCCCTTCCTCCAGGAGCAGGAGGGGGAAGGCAGAGTGCTGCCTGGTTGTCAGAGCAGATGGCTGGAGTGGCAGAGGCTGCTTGGGTGTGTCTAGAGAGGGGAAACATGGGTGGGGCATTGCACCTAATATCCATATGGACCAGATGCTTGCTTGCTAAGTGGGGTGGGGTTGGTGGGTGGAGCACATCTATGTAAAGCACTGGGAGCAGTTCACTCCCAGAGCTGACTTTTTTCTTTTGCATTAAAGTTTGCTGGTCACCTGTTCCTTCTGTGTCTGGATTTTATCAGTATCTAGCAGAGGACAGCTGACACCCTGACTCCTTTGGCCCAGACAAAACCTCTTGCATATTGTCATCAAGGTCATCTTCCTGACTCTGTGCATAAACCACATAAACCCATCTCCTCAATGTTTTTCATGTAAGACATGTATATCAATCAATTGGTGTATTCATGGCCAGCCCAATCCTTATTTATCTTTGAGGCATCTGTGCATTCTTCATAAGTGTCCACCTGTCTACCATTTAGAGCAGGAGAGAAGTGCAGAAGAAAATTCCCATAGGGTTGGGCAAAAAGCAAGTTGAGAAGTGAATCTTTATGTTTTTCCTATGAGGATTCATTCTACACATCCATTTTTGCCTAGGTGATCAATCTTGCATATTTCTGTTGGGTCACCTTGCTTATTCTTTGCACTAGTAGACTCCTTCAGTTTTACAGAATAACACAATTAAAAGGGACATTGGAGTCTTCTAATCAACTGCTTGCTCAAGCAGGAGACCCTATACTAGGGGTGTCAAACTGCTGGCCTGCAGGCGGATGCATCGTAGCGAAACCGCACCCACCCCATTGCCAGCAATGGCAAAAAAGTCATGATACGTCGCAACATGTCAGGTGATGTTGCAAGCTTGACACCCCTGCACTATACTTTTGTCCAATTTCTTCTCAAAAACCACTGATGATGGAGCACCCACAACTTCTGAAGGCAAGCCATTCCACCAATCAATTATTCTAACTGTCAGGAAATTTCTCTTTAGTTCTAGGTCGCTTCTCTCCTTGATTAGTTTCCATCCGTTGCTTCTTGTTCTGCCTTCTGGTGCTTTGGAGAAGAGCTTGGACCCCCCCCCTTCTTTATAATAGCCAATATTGGAAAATTGCTATCATGTCATTTTTAGATCTTCTTTTTATTAAACTAGATATATCCAATTCCTACAACCATTCCTCATCTGATTTAGCCTCCAGTCTCCATATCATCTTTGTTGCTCTTCTCTGTACTCTTTCTGGAGTCTCAACATTTTTTTTTTTTGTATTGTGGTGACCAAAACTGGATGCAATATTCCAAGTGTCCATTATAAAGTGGCACAAACACTTCACATGATCTTGCATTAAGATCCTCTGTTAATGCAGCCTAGAACCACATTTGCTTTTTTGGTAGCTGTGGCACATAGATTTTTTTTATGATAGGACTAACATGGGTGTTCTCCTACATTATCTTCTACATAACAATTGTGCTTCAAAATTCTCATGGATTGACATTGTAGTCTCAATTATACTATTCCTCTATTCTTTTCCCTTTCTCACAGTTACATGCATTTCTTCGTGACATTTCATTCAACAATTCAGCTGGAGAGAACATGCATTTTAATGAAAAAGGAGAAATTGTTTCTGGTTTGGATATAATGCACACAAGGTTATTTTCAAACAACTCCTTCAAAAAAGTTAGAATTGGACAGGTAAAACCAACAGCTTTTGAAGGAAAACAATTCTTTATACATGATGAAATTATTGAGTGGCCTAAAACCTTTAACCAGGTATGGATTCTTAGATTTCTTTAACAGTTTTTCCCTCAGTAAAATTGGCCATCTTGGATAACAAATTTCCAATGCTGCAAAATTGGTCCATGCCAGTGTTGTAGTTCTAGTAAAAATTAAGTGTTGCCATTTTAGTAATGCAACATTTACTAGCAGTAATAATTTTAAATGATCATAACAGTGGAAAAGGAAAAACACAATTCTTAGCATTTTAAAAATAATGCAAATATTTTAATCACAGGAAATATGGATCAATCCTTAATTAAAAATAAATATAGAATAATTTGTCACTAGAAAAAAATTGTAGGAAATACTATAGGACACTATGAAATGGGCTTTTCTATGAAAAACATGATGTGGACATTCTCCTGAGCTAAATAATTAAAATCCTAAAAGATACTATTTTCCTTAAAATATGCTTTTCCCATTTTCTTTTCAGGCAGTCAGCTGCCATTATTTTTATGCATGCTTGGTCATTTGTTTCCTGCCCTTCAGCTGATATATATTAAACCCACAAATCTAATTTTCTTAAATTTCCAAACACCTTAGACTCTTGATTTTTATGGACAGGTATGTCCTATTTCTGTGTGCAGTGATTCGTGCCAGCCAGGATTTCAGAAACAAAAGAAGGAAGGGGAACAATTTTGTTGCTATGATTGCTTACCATGTCCAAAAGGAAAGATCTCCAACAAGACAGGTAGATGACATGGAACCCACTATCATCTATCCTTAGAGACCTGTAAAGTGGTGCCATTCCACATGAGAGGATTGCCTTCATCCAGATCAGAGAAGTAACACAAATTGAGCTGGTATCAGAGTTTTGCAATAGGAAAAATTAATAAACATGAACTTATTATTGTTGACAATTTCTTGTGAATGTCAGAGTTTCTTTCTAATATAACTCATGCATAACAAAATCAGAGAAGTAATTGTTTTTTGTAGCATTTCTGGAATTGTCCTACATGCTCAGAATTAGTCTGGTATGACTTTCAAAATCAACTATGATGCTTCCTATCAGAGTTTCTCCCAGGTTTTATTTATCTACAACAAAATCAAAGAATAGTTATTTATAATTTCTTATACTTTCATGACATTTAATTTTCTTTTCTAAAATGGTTCCACATACATTTCCATTTTCTGACAGTCAGTCTGATATTCTATCACAATTGGTGAGTTGATATGGAAAATAAAGACTTACAACTTTGGTGTCATCATTTGGCTTCTGATCTAGTCAAGTTCTAATAGATACACTTATTTTTCTTGACAATTTTTCTCCCCTTTCTTTTCAGACACAGATGAATGTATTCAGTGCCGAGATGATCAGTATCAAAGCCAGAGCAATGACAGCTGTTTCCCCAAAATAATAACCTTTCTTTCCTATGAAGAACCATTAGGAATGGGTTTAGTCTCAATTGTCCTTTGTTTTTCACTGGTCACAGGCTTGGTGTTGATTACTTTTATTAAGCACAGTGATACAGCCATAGTCAAAGCCAATAACCGAGAACTCACCTATATTCTTCTTTCCTCTCTCCTGCTCTGCTTCCTCTGCTCTCTTTTATTCCTTGGCCATCCCCACAAAGTCACTTGCCTCATTCGTCATGTTGCTTTTGGTATCATCTTTACTGTGGCAGTTTCTTGTGTGTTGGCCAAAACCATCACTGTTCTTGCTTTCATGGCCACTAAACCAGGATCCAATGTGAGGAGGTGGGTGGGAAAAAGTCTGGCCAACACCATTGTCCTTTCCTGCTCTCTCATTCAAGCTGGCATTTGTACTGCATGGCTGGCCATTGCTCCTCCGTACCCCAGGTTGGATATGAAATCTCTGCCAAACAAGATAATAGCAGAATGCAATGAAGGCTCTACCTTTATGTTTTACTTTGTATTGGGCTACATGGGACTTCTGTCCATCATCAGTTTCATAGTGGCTTTCTTATCTAGAAATTTACCGGATGCTTTCAATGAAGCCAAATTCATCACTTTTAGCATGCTCATGTTTTGCAGTGTTTGGCTGACTTTTATCCCAACTTATTTGAGTGCCAAAGGCAAATACGTGGTAGGTGTGGAGATCTTCTCCATTTTGGCCTCTGGGGCTGCACTGCTTGCCTGTATCTTTTTTCCAAAAGTTTATATTATCTGGTTGAGACCTGAGCTGAATAATAAGGAGGGATTAATAAGGACAAAGAATAAACCAGTGAAATTGAATACTCTTATATAATGTGTGGTAAAATGACAACATATTCACTTCTATGTGATTGACCCCAAGATGCTTTTCCAAGAGGCAACTGGATTTTTCCTTGAAAACATTTTGTGTCTTATCCAAGAAGCTTCTTCAATTCTTCAGATGATTGAGAACCTTCATAGATTTCTACGTGAATGATTTTTTTCATAAATTTCTATATTATATTATTATAATTTAGTAGTATATTTTTAAGCTCTGGCACCAACATATCACTCTTCTGAGGCATTTGAAATGGTTTCAGAATAGTTTTAAATATTTTGAATAGCCTTATGAATACTGATTATTAAACAATGTTTTCCTCTCATGGCACATCAGTTTAGTGGCCATATATTTCTTCTAAAGTAGTAAATAAAATAATAAATATATTAAAGCTGGACTGATAATAAAAGTTCCAATAGTTATTGTCTTATTGTTTTCTTAATGGGAACCATAACTGAATTTTATACAATTTCAAAATTGAAACCTATGACTTTAAACAAATATTTAGCGTTTTTGATAAAGGGGGATTTTGTTGTCAATAATTTTGGTACACATATTAAAAGAAAGATTTAAAGTAGTTAATAAGACTTTTGCAATGATATAGCAGAAACCAGAATTTGGACTGTGTAAAAATGATTAATGTGTCCTGGCTAAAATGGATCAGCTTTTATTACAATTTGAAACAGAAGAACAAGTGAAAGATTCTATGACAAAATGTACTCAAAACTTTGGACAAAATATACGGAGGAAAAAAAATGGGAAAATATGTGGTTAAGGGGATAAAAAATTTGTTAGGTTGCAGTTCAAAAGAGAATGTTTATAGGATTATGTACCCTCCATACATAACTCCCAAAAATGTTTGAATGTAAAATATATATATAAAGTTTATGTGGAAACAACGACTTGACTCCAGAAGTTGTGGGTGCTCCAACACTGGAGATTTTTAAGAAGAAACTGGACAGCCATTTGTCTGAGATGGTATAGGGTCTCCTGCTTGAGCAGGGAGTTGGACTAGATGACCTCCAAAGTCCCTTCCAGCTCTGTTATTCTGTAACATGGACAACATGAAAAATCATTTTATCATGCCTGGCAGATTTATTAAAAACTGTCAAAAATTTCTGGATTCAAATATATAATTATACAAAGGATTTTAAAGATCAACTTACAACTGAAACTAGTTGGGAAATATAAAAAAAATAGAAAAAAAAACCCCATGGGAGATTATTTTTGTACATGAATATTGCTGTAAAACTATTGTATGTGCAAACACAGAAAGACTCTGAAATACCCACAATGATGGGTATTTGATTAGTGAAGATGATGAAATGATTAGTGAAGATGACCAAAAAAAGAAGTGCTGGCAAAGACTGGAGAAAGACAACAGCTAATTTCATTTATAAGTGACTGGTTTTGTTTGCTAGAATGCAGTGTTTGCCTTTTGCCAAATGTAAGGTGATACATTCAGGCCCAAAAGTTCTCTTTTGGTCTCATCCATCAAGAAACTATTCTTCCAATAGCTCTTATGGAACACCTGTCTCACTATATAGCACTAATTTATTCCCCTTTCTACAGTATCTCCTTACTTCTGTTGGTGCATTGGGAAACTTTCTCTCTGTGATGATTCCGCTTTCATTCATCCCTACATCCCACAATGCATCCTGAATATACAAGGGTAGAGGTGGCCTCACTCGGTGCTACAAGGGGAACAGTCTGAAGAGCTTTCCTCCCTGCTGAGCAACTAAAAAGTAAGTAAAAGAGGGCCAGGGGTGGGAGGTGGGAGGCCAGTGGGCGCAGTGAAGGTTGCTGGCGTGCATGGCGCCCAGCGGGTGCCTTACCTGCGTTGGGCTGGGCCAGCTGTTGGCCCAGCCGGTGGTCGCCCTGCCTGACGTGGCTGCCCGGGAGCGCCTGGGCCTGCCTGTCACTGCCCCTTGCCGGCTATGCCTCAGTCGGCGCAGGGGACAGCACCACGTATACGCGGCGCTCCCGGGCTGGTAGTCCTCGACTTACGACCGGGGTCGCGGCTATTAAAAGGTTGAGAACCACTGATCTAGAGCTTAGGAGAAACTTCCTGACAGTGAGAACAATTAACCAGTGGAATGACTTGCCTCCAGAAGTTGTGGATGCTCCATCACTGGAGGGTTTTAAGGATAGATTGGACAACCACTTGTCTAAAATAGTATAGGGTCTCCTGCCTGAGCAGGGGATTGGACTAGAAGGCTTCCAAGGTCCGTTCCAAGCCTGTTATTCTGTTATTCTGAATTAGATTGACCTAACTTCATATTATTTAGATCAATATTTCTATTCTTAGTTGAAATTATTAAATCTAAATTTTGATCTATTTGAAGACATGTCCAGGAATGCATTCTAGTATTATTCCTGTTTGAAGAAAATCAAAGTTTCAAACTCAGTTCTCTTATTAGATATAAGACCAGAAAAAACTGTTCCAACTCATTGTGGGACATAAGGATCAGCAGAATATTGACTTAGCATTTCCCTTCAGGTTCAGAGTTGTTTACCTTGGTCCAACTGCACCCATGGGCTATGCTATTCTGTTCATATTTAATCAATGTGATCCTCTTGGAGCCCATCTCTGACTGGTGTCCCATTAGGGAGGCCATCAAGGACAACACACACACAAAAACAACATCTACTTACAATGTGTTATCCCTAATACACAGCAGAGTTAATTGTTTCTCTTATAATTGCTGCATACTTATAATTAGTTTCATTGATCAGACCTTCAACAATTATCCACAAGGTAAGAAGACAGAAATCAGTATGTGATGTGCAGTTGAGAAAGAGTTTATAATATACAAGTATTCTTCAACTGGTTTCATGGAAAAGAGGCAAGCTCAAGCTTTGTCCATGTGAAACTATCCAGTTCTCCACTGTTTTGGACAGAAATGGCTTCAGATTATTGAACTGCTTTGTGGAGTTTTTAAAATTTCTTTCTGTGTTGGTTGTGCCATGTAATATTGAGATAGGTTGCTGCTTTCTCTTTAAAACAGGTGACAAAGCAGAAATCAGATGCAGAAGACTCTTTTCTCCAGGAAAACACATCTGCAGGGATGGTGAAATTCCTGGCACTGTTTCTTTTTCTATCCCTTGAAGAGTGCCAAAGAGTGACCACAAAGTGCGCTCAAACCCAATTCTTCACTGTTCCTCATGACTGGTATCAGCCAGGGACACTTCTCATTGGTGGGATGGCATCTCAAGTCATTTATGTATTTAATGAAGTTTCCTTCAAAAATATCCCTTCACAAGATATTGGCTTTGATCTTCCAGTGTAAGACACTCAACCTTCCCTTCCTAAATCAAGTACTACTCAACTCCTAGAAATAGTCATGTATAGTAAATAAAAATGTAAAACATGTTATTTCTCCCATCCCTGTTACAGGGTATCTTCAGGTGGTCTTATTTCCATCAATGTCATTTTTCTAGACTGCTGACAGTCACCTACTACTTCGATATAAACTTTAGTCTCTTGCTATTATTCCATCTTTTCTTTCTTGAAAAATATTAATGTTCAATGTTAACTTCACCTTGTTGCACATGCAGTATTGTGTTGAATTGCAGAGAAAGTGAGGAGTTTTGTTAAATTGGAGAAAGCAGTGTTCCATGGCTGGGAAGACTATATGAAACCTGGAAATATGGATGAAAAAGACTTTAAAATTGACATAGATTAAAAAAGAATGGAACAGAACAGAACAGAACAGAATTCTTTATTGGCTAAGTATGATTGAATGCACAAGGAATTTGTCTCCTGTGCATAATTTGCCTCTTAGTGTATAAGCAAGCCACAAGTGTTAAGATTGATTAGCAGGAACTTAATTAGTTAAGACTGACTAGCAACCAGACTAACTATTTCATGCTTTACTCTATGAAGAAATTAACAAGTTATTCTATTCTATTCTATTCTATTCTATTCTATTCTATTCTATTCTATTCTATTCTATTCTATTCTGGATAAAGAGAGAAATGGAGAGAAGGAGAACATTAAAAATTGTGATAAAGACACATTTTTCTTTTAGAACTGTTTCCTATAGCTTAATAAAAATAGGGCATGATTTAGTTTTTGGAAAGTCATTGACTACAGGATTGGAAAATCTTTTCCCTGAGAATTGCTCATTTGGTTTGTGTGTTCAGGAAAGACTTTCAATATCACATGTATTGTGGTTGGAGGTATTTCACTGATTTCTAAATATTGATTCCTATTCAGTTGAATTTCATAATGCATATATTGAAAGCACTCTCAGTTTATCTGCTCCCCTCTTTTCCATCCATTAAGATGGAAACTAATCAAGGAGAAAACCTGCCTAGAACTAAGGAGAAATTTCCTGACACTTGGAACCATTAATCAATAGAACAACTTGCCTCCAGAAGTTGTGGGTGCTCCAACACTGGAGGTTTTTAAGAAGAGACTGGACAGCCATTTGTCTGGGATGGTATAGGGTTTTCTGCCTGAGCAGGGGGCTGGACTAAAAGACCTCCAAAGTCCCTTCCAACTCTGTTATTCTGTTAGTCTTAACCTTAATTCATCTTTATAAGTCTGATCACATTGCATCAGCCCAAGAGTTGTGCTGGTCAAGATGATTAATTTCATATGTAAAAGGCCTTGCAACTCTATTTGCAGGATGCTGACCAAGTTCTACCAGAATTGTTTGGCTTTGGCATTTGCTGTAAATACAATCAATAAGTCGCCAACAATTTTGACAAATATCACAGTGGGATTCCACATCTATGACACCTACTATGATCAGAGGATGACCTATTACAATCTTCTCAATTTGCTCTTTAAATTGCACCATTTTCTTCCTAATTATGCATGTGGACTCCCTAAAAACCTAATTGCTGTTGTGGGAGGTCTTGCATCTGACACCTCTTTTCACATGGCAGATATTTTAGGACTCTACAAGATTCCACAGGTGAGGATGATGCATATCTGCAGAGATCAGCTTTTGCTAATGTTATATTCATCACACAGGTGGTTTTGAAATAGAAAAGAGAAGCTAGAAAATGAAAGAAATTAAGCTTAGTGAATTTGAGAAATAAGGACTCCTGGGAGGATTAGAGAGGTTCAGAATCCTTCTTTCTAATTCAAGTTGTTCATATTTCTCCATCTCTGTTAAATAGGTAAAGGCAAAATTTTAAATTTTAGCAAAGGGAAATTGAAAGGTAAGAGTTTCATTTCTGCAGGTATGATTGATTTATAAAAATGCACCATGCACTTTGCCTTTAAGCTCACATATGGATCATTTGCTCCTGAGGACACTGTAAAACCCAAGGATCCTATTTTTTATCACATGGTCCCAAATGATGAAAACCAGTACATGGGAATTATCCGTTTGCTTCTACACTTTGGCTGGACATGGGTGGGTCTTTTTACAGGAGATGATGATAGTGGAAAATATTTCTTGCAAAGCATGGAAGCATTGTTTTCCCAGTATCGAATCTGTTTAGCCTTCGTTCAAGTGTTTCCACGCCAAGGCCGTGTCTTGTCCAGTGATGATATGGGTACATTTGGAAATCTCCATGTATCTGTTATGGATCAGAGGGCCAGAGCATATATCATCTATGGAGATACCATGAATCTTATGTGGTTAATTAACTATAATATTCTTCTAGTTTCTGATGATGCATATTTTGGGAAGGTGTGGATCATGACAGCTCAGATGGAATTTGCAGTAACAGGAGTGACCAGACGGATGGATTTTCAAATGTTCCAGGGTGCCATATCCTTCGCAGTTCATTCCAAGCAACCTCAGGAATTCCAGATGTATCTTCAGAAGAAAAATCCATACAAGCCTGAAGGTGATGGTTTTGTCCAGTTGTTCTGGGAACAGGTTTTTGAATGTTCATTTCCAAACTCTGGGGAACCATTGGAGCAGGATGAACTATGTACCGGGAAGGAGAACCTGGCTAAGCCTCCTCAATCTGTTTTTGACGTGAGAATGAATGGCCACAGCTACAGTATTTACAATGCTGTCTATGCGGTAGCCCATGCTCTTCATGCAATGCACTCATCAAAGACTAAATACAGAGTAAGAATGGGGGAGCAAAGATCTGAGTTTGAAGACATGCAACCTTGGCAGGTAATATTCCCATAACAGAATGATATAACCAAATAACAGAGTTGGAAGGGACCTTGGAGGTCTTCTAGTCCAATCCCCTGCTCAGGCAGGACACCCTATATCATCCCAGACAAATGGTTGTCTAATCTCTGATAATTTCAATGATTCTGCTCCCAGAAAATAAGTAGCATATCAATGTATCCAATCATTGATGATTAGAATTAATAATTGCATCCTGGGGACTTATGTCCATTATTGCTTTTATAACAAATCAAATACTTGCCTTATTAGAGAAAAAATATTTTGATCACTAATTAATAAAGGCAGCCTTCATTAACGACCACAATTGGGACTGCAACTCGGATGTTAAGGAAAACAATCAAAATGATCTTACTTCAACTTTCCTTTGCTTTACAGACTTCTGAAGGTTGTAAATATGAGAACTGGTGGCAAAGTAATATTTTAGTATTATTGTAACTGTAAATATTTAGTAAATTAGGAAGTTATTAATGAAGACTGTAATCTGTAATCACTATCAGCTATCATAGATAAATATTTGTTGTCCAGCAGCTATATTTTAATGAATGGTTAAAATAGAATGTAATAGAATTGAAAATAGTGAAACAATATTTTAAAATCTTATAGAACTAGGAATAGAAAAGCAGTATAGGGAAACTGCCTATTTAACTTATATGCAGAGCACATCATGAGAAAGGCAGGGCTAGATGAATCAAAAGTTGGAATTAAGATTGCCGGGAGAAATATCAACAACCTAAGATATGCAGATGATACCACTCTAATGGCAGAAAGTGAAGAGGAACTAAAGAGCCTCTTGATGCGGTTGAAGAAGGAGAGTGCAAAAGTTGGCTTGAAACTCAACATTAAGAAAACCCAAATCATGGCATCCAGCCCTCTCAATTCCTGGCAAATAGATGGGGAAGAAATGGAGGTAGTGACAGATTTTATTTTTCTGGGCTCCAAGATCACCTCAGATGGGACTGCAGCCAAGAAATTAAAAGACGCTTGCTCCTGGGGAGGAAAGCTATGGCAAATCTAGACAGCATTCTAAAAAGCAGAGACATCACCCTGCCAACAAAAATGCGTATAGTCCAGGCCATGGTTTTCCCAGTTGCAATGTATGGCTGTGAAAGTTGGACCATAAGAAAGGCTGAGCACAAAAGAATTGAGGCCTTTGAACTATGGTGCTGGAGAAGACTCCTGCGAGTCCCTTGGACTTCAAGGCGTTCAAACCGTTCAGTCCTAGAAGAGATCAACCCCGACTGCTCTTTAGAAGGCCACATCCTGAAGTTGAAACTCAAGTACTTTGGCCACCTAATGAGAAGGAAGGATTCACTGGAGAAGAGCCTAATGCTGGGAAGGATTGAGGGCAATAGAAGAAAGGGACGACAGAGAATGAGATGGCTGGATGGAGTCACTGAAGCAGTAGGTGTGAATTTAAATGGACTCCAGAAGATGGTAGAGGACAGGAAGACCTGGAGGAACGTTGTCCATGGGGTCGCGATGGGTCGGACACGACTTCGCAATTAACAATTAACAACATAGGGAAACAGACTGAATATATGAATTAATAATACAAGATAATATTAAGCCACCCAGAGTCACATGATGGTGAGATGGGAGGCAAATAAATTTAAGAATCAATGAATAATCCAGAATTTTGGTCTAACCAGTGGAAATTTCCAATTTGTACCTTTATCAGCCAAATGAGAAAAAAACAAAGTTCGGGGGGGGGGGGAATCTCTGATTTTTTTTATGCAATGTCTTCTCACAGTATTTTTTTTTGTTCTGTTTGATGGAAATTTACTACCATTTTCCTGTCTTCCTTTCCCTCTCCTTTCCTGGCTGCCAACAATTTCGCTTAACAGAGTCTTAAGCGCACAAATGGTGTTAAAAATGACCATCTCTTTCAGTTTTATTATAGAAAATTAAAATAGATCGGACTCCAAAAGGATGTAGAAAAATTTGTTTGCTCTACAATACCCAAATTTTGAGATAGATGGGTAGATGGGTAGATGGATGGATGGATGGATAGATAGATAGATAGATAGATAGATAGATAGATAGATAGATAGATAGATTCCTCCTAACTCCAATTAAAGTCCTGTGGCATTTATGGAGGAGAGAGAGAGAGAGAGAGAGAGAGAGAGAGAGGGAGGGAGGGAGGGAAGGAGGGAGGGAGAGAGAGAGAGAGAGAGAGGAAGTGCACATAAATCTTCCTTTCTTCACAGCAGCCGTTCACGTTGCTTCAGAAATAGGAATTTGGATTCATAAATTAGGAGACAAAAGACTGAAGTAAAGTCCTGCTCTTCATACATGTAATTCTAAATGATTGTTTTTAATAGGCACCACTCTTTATAAGAAGTAAAACAGAGCATTAGATTTTCCCTTCACTTGTATATCTGGGGAGGGGAGAGAGAGAGAGAGACAGAGAGAGAGAGAGAGAGAGAGAGAGAGAGAGAGAGAGAGAGAGAGAGAGAGAGAGAGAGAGAGAGAGAGAATCCGTTCTTAAGGCCATAGCAGCCCATGTCAGCAGAAAACAATTATATATTAAGAACGTTTGTCTAAAATCCCTTATTAACAGGATGGCTTTCACTTTTATAAGCCATCTGTCACTCTGTTACTGGAAATCAGGAATTGGGAGGAGACTTATATCTTAACTCGCAAGAGAGGATTGTCTATTTGTGAATAGAAGGGAATAACTCTTAAGATCTAAGTGAAGTATTGCATCCATTTCAATTTCTGAGACAGGGTTGGGGCTACAGCTTAAATTTCTTGCCTGCTGGACTTAGCTATTTTCGTACATTGGTCCTTCCTTCCTTCCTTCCTTCCTTCCTTCCTTCCTTCCTTCCTTCCTTCCTTCCTTCCTTCCTTCCTTCCTTCCTTCCTCCCTCCCCCCTCCCTCCCTCCCTCCCTCCCTCCCTCCCTCTCTTCTAAATTTATCCTTTTTTGAACTTATAATTCTATAGACAGCAATGGTAACTGGAATTCATGTGTATGGTGCTTGCATTTGATAAATCACTGATATAACAATCACAGATAAAAGCAACAATATGTATCAGGGTCAAAGACTGTCCATAAATTGCATCAAATTAAATTGCCCACAAAATTAATTAAAGTATCTACTTCATCTGTACCCAAAGATGTTTTTGAGTTTGTCCCATTGTTCGATAATAATGAAATTCTGACAGCGTAGCTTGATGGTACATAGCAGAATTTGGCAATTAGAAAGAGATCTTTGAGATCATCCTATCATACATAAAATAATCTCCTAGAATAAATTGTGTTGAATTTAATTGCTTCCAACATGTCATGAAATGACATTGTACACTTAATTTTATTATCCCTCTACTATTTTTTCCCTCCTTCCAGTTACATGCATTCCTTCAAGGGATATCATTTAACAATTCAGGAGAGAACATTAATTTTAATGGAAAAAGAGAAATTGTTGCTGGATTTGATATAATGCAAATGATTTTATTTGCAAATAACTCCTTCCGCAAAGTCAAAATTGGATGGTTGGAACCAATGGCTTTTGAAAGAGAACAATTCTTCATAGATGATGAAATTATTGAATGGCCAAGCTCCTTTAATCAGGTATGCATTCTTAGATTTCCTTGACAGATTTAACTTCAATAAGACAAACCATTGGTGGTTACACATTTCCACTACTGTAAACTTTGTCCATGCCAAAAGATGTAGCAGTGGGGTCTAGGACAATTCACCATGGTTGACTAGCCCCAGCTGTCTCACTCTGGTTGTCAATGTCCAGCTTGTGTATCCAAAATAAAGTCCCGGATTTTTTTTCATTTCTGAAGTTCTTGCTATTTTATTGAATACATGACATGGCATAGGTGAAGGAAAACTAACTCTAAAATCCCAAGATATCTACCCAAAGCATATAACAATGACGTTCCCAGCCAAATCTCCCAGCTGTCCATGTGGTGCATGTAAACACCTTTCTGTTGTTTTGAGAACCTTCTGTTATCTTCATCCCCAAGGTTAGAATATCCTCAAAAAGTTTCCACACATCTGTGTTTCAACAAATGTCTGCAGAACTGGAGAGGTTTCATTTCTCTAACTAGCCCATTCAAAGCCTCATCTCTCCCTCTCTCCCTTACTCTAATGACAAGATGAAAACAATAAGGCACATTATGGCTGCCAAATTTTTACTGTTGACATTGGTTAATTGGCAACAGACAAATCTCCAAAGGACAGCTCACTGTGGGACAATTCAATGTAGGATAATTCAAGAGAGGGACAAGTGAATTGCAGCTGGTCTTGTCTTGCTTTAGGTTTGAACCTTCTCAAGTTAGAAGTTTTCAAGGCTGGGGTGAGCTGCAATTCTACTTGTCCCTCTCTTAAAGTTATCCTGTGCTGAATTGTCCTCCAGCAAATTGTCCCATGGTGAGATGACCAGGATGAATTGGCCAGGGTGAGTTGGCCAAGACGAGTTGTCCATTCTGGTTGCAGTGCTAGTATAAATTCAGTATTGTTATTGCTTTATTAAATATTACTATTATTTCTAGTAACAATATTTTGAAAGCAATATATACTTAAATAGGAACATAATACAATTTTAGTCCACTTTAAAAAACATGCTTACATTATAGTATATACTACACATATGCTCATCTATATTGACCAATTACTTATTTCCTGATTTTCAGTTGTGTATGCCCCCCACAATAACTAAATGCTATCAGCTTCCTTACAACTCTTTTGATTTTTATGGACAGGTATGTCCTATTTCTGTGTGTAGTGATTCATGCCCACCGGGGTTTCAGAAACGAAAGAAGGAAGGGCAGAAATTTTGTTGCTATGACTGTTCACCTTGTCCAGAAGGAAAGATCTCCAACAAGACAGGTAAATGATATAGAATTGATTGATTGACTCCCCCCCACAAATTCCTTTTGTTTCCCTGCATTATATTAGGCCCAACCCCGCAAAATCAGCTGGGAGTTACTTTCTGGGGAGGGCTTACTTTTGGGAAAAAACAGTAAAATAGTTGTGAAAGTCAACCAGATATTCTATCCACTCCTACTTAAAAATGATAAAATCAAGTAAATTATATTGTTGTTGTTGTTGTTGTTGTTGGGTTATTTTTTTTTTTTTTTTGTAGTATTTGTTGATATTCTGATATCACTCTGAGAGTCAGTCTGGTATTCCATCACAGGTCGTGGCTTGTCTTTGAAAATAAAGACATGGAACTTTGATGGCTCCTCCATGGTATTCAACTGAGCTGTCTTGATTTGGCTTCCAATTCAATAACAGACACAGCCTAAGACGCTCATTGAGAATCTGTATACTACATGAACCAAAAAAGAGGGCTGAGAAAATACTTACAGAACCCTCATATCCTAAACATAATCTATTTCAACTTCTCCCCTCAGGATGCCGGTATAAACAATTAGACATAAATTTGGTTTTTTCCCCATGCTGTCACCATCAGATTGGATTCTTATGCTTTATCAGTTCTTGTTTGTAACTTATGATTAATGATTGTAACTATGATGTATGATCTATGATCTATTACTTGCTGCTAATATATACACTGTGAGTTTATGCACTGGAGACAAATTCCTTATATGTCAAAACACAGTTGGCCAATAATTCTATTCTATTCTATTCTATTCTATTCTATTCTATTCTATTCTATTCTATTCTATTCTATTCTATTCTATTCTATTCTATTCCATTCTATTCTATTCTATTCCTTATTTCTATTCTATTCTATTCTATTCTATTCTATTCTATTCTATTCTATTCTATTCTTATTATGAAGTAAGCTGTTTTCATTTGGCTTCTGATCCAGTCAAAGTCTAATAGATACACTTATTTTTCTTGACAATTTTTCTCCCTTTTCTTTCCAGACACGGATGAATGTATTAAGTGCCGAGATGATCAATATCAAAGCCAGAACAATGACAGCTGTTTCCCCAAAATAATAACCTTTCTTTCCTATGAAGAACCATTAGGAATGGGTTTAGTCTTAATTGTCCTTTGTTTTTCACTGGTCACGGTCTTGGTGTTTATTACTTTTATTAAACACAGTGATACAGCCATAGTCAAAGCCAATAACCGAGAACTCACCTATATTTTTCTTTCCTCTCTCCTGCTCTGCTTCCTCTGCTCTCTTTTATTCCTTGGCCATCCCCACAAAGTCACTTGCCTCATTCGTCATGTTGCTTTTGGTATCATCTTTACTGTGGCAGTTTCTTGTGTGTTGGCCAAAACCAGCACTGTGGTTCTTGCTTTCATGGCCACTAAACCAGGATCCAATGTGAGGAGGTGGGTGGGAAAAAGGCTGGCCAACACCATTGTCCTTTCCTGCTCTCTCATTCAAGCTGGCATTTGTACTGCATGGCTGGCCATTGCTCCTCCATACCCCAGGTTGGATATGAAATCTCTGCCAAACAAGATAATAGCAGAATGCAATGAAGGCTCTACCTTTATGTTTTACTTTGTTTTGGGCTACATGGGACTTCTGTCCATTATCAGTTTCATAGTGGCTTTCTTATCTAGAAATTTACCGGATGCTTTCAATGAAGCCAAATTCATCACTTTTAGCATGCTCATGTTTTGTAGTGTTTGGCTGATTTTTATCCCAACGTATTTGAGTGCCAAAGGCAAATACATGGTAGGTGTGGAGATCTTCTCCATTTTGGCCTCTGGGGCTGCACTGCTTGCCTGTATCTTTTTTCCAAAAGTTTATATTATCTGGTTGAGACCTGAACTGAATAATAAGGAGGGATTAATAAGGACAAAGAATGAACCAGTGAAATTTGCATGCTCTTATATAATGTGTGGTAAAATGACAAACAGATCAACATATTCACTTCTATGTGATTGACCCCAAGATGCTTTTCCAAGAGGCGACTGGATTTTTCCTTGAAAACATTTTGTGTCTTATCCAAGAAGCTTCTTCAATTCTTCAGATGATTGAGAATCTTCATAGATTTCTACGTGATGATTTTTTTTCATAAATTTCTATATTATATTATTATAATTTGTAGTATATTTTTAAGCTCTGGAACCAACATATCACTCTTCTGAGGCATTTGAAATGGTTTCAGAATAGTTTTAAATATTTTGAATAGCCTTATGAATACGGATTATTAAACAATGTTTTCCTCTCATGGTCACATCAGTTTAGTGGCCAATATTTCTTCTAAATTAGTAAATAAAATAATAAATATATTAAAGCTGGACTGGTAAGAAAAGTTCCAATAGTTATTGTCTTATTGTTTTCTTAATGGGAAGCACAGCTGAATTTTATACATTTCAAAATTGAAACCTATCACTTTAAACAAATATTTAACGTTTTTGATAAAGGGGATTTGTTGTCAATAATTTTGGTACACATATTAAAAGAAAGATTTAAAGTAGATAATAAACTTTTGCAATGATATAGAAGAAACCAGAATTTGGACTGTGTAAAAATGATTAATGTGTCCTGGCTAAAATGGATCAGCTTTTATTACAATTTGAAACAGAAGAACAAGTGAAAGATTCTATGACAAAATGTACTCAAAACTTTGGACAAAATATACGGAGGAAAAAAATGGGAAATATGTGGGTAAGGGGATAAAAAAGTTGTTAGGTTGCAGTTCAAAAGAGAATGTTTATAGGATTATGTACCCTCCATACATAACTCCCAAAAATGTTTGAATGTAAAATATATATATAAAGTTTATGTGGAAACAACGACTTGACTCCAGAAGTTGTGGGTGCTCCAACACTGGAGATTTTTAAGAAGAAACTGGACAGCCATTTGTCTGAGATGGTATAGGGTCTCCTACTTGAGCAGGGAGTTGGACTAGATGACCTCCAAAGTCCCTTCCAGCTCTGTTATTCTGTAACATGGACAACATGAAAAATCATTTTATCATGCCTGGCAGATTTATTAAAAAATGTCAAAAATTTCTGGATTCAAATATATAATTTATACAAAGGATTTTAAAGATCAACTTACAATTTGAAACTAGTTGGGAACCCTGGAAGATTATTTTTGTATATGAATATTGCTGTAACACTATTGTATGTGCAAACACAGAAAGACTCTGAAATACCCACAATGATGGGTATTTGATTAGTGAAAGATGATGAAATGACTAGTGAAGATGACCAAAACAAGAAGTGCTGGCAAAGACTGGAGAAAGACAACAGCTAATTTCATTTATAAGTGACTGGTTTTGTTTGCTAGAATGCAGTGTTTGCCTTTTGCCAAATGTAAGGTGATACATTCAGGCCCAAAAGTTCTCTTTTGGTCTCATCCATGAAGAAACTATTCTTCCAATAGCTCTTATGCAACACCTATCTTACTATATAGCACAAATTTATTCCTCTTTCTACAGTATCTCCTTAATTCTGTTGGTGCATTGGGAAACTTTCTCTCTGTGATGATTCCGCCTTCATTCGTCCCTACATCCCACAATTCTGAATATACAAGGGTACAGGTGGCCTCACTCTTTTGTTTTCTCAATAAGCCATGACAATGATAGATAAGAAGTTGAATACTGCATCCAGTATGGATCACCACAATGTGAAAAAGTTGTTAAGACTCTAGAAAGAGCAACAAAGATGGTTAGGGGACTGGAGGCTAAAACATATAAGGAAAGGATGCAGGAACTGGATATGTCTAGTTTAATGAAAAGAAGGACATAAATGGTGGACTGCGTTATTTGGAGACCCCCGTGAAATAGTTGTTCGACCCCAAATGGGGTCCCGACCCACAGGTTGAGAACCACTGTTCTAGTCCAATCCCCTGCTCAGGCAGGAAACCCTGTATCATCCCAGACAAATGGTTGTCTAATCTCTGATAATTTCAATGATCCTGAAAATAAGTAGCATATCAATGTATCCAATCATCAATGAAATATACATTGATGATAAGAATTAATAGCTGCATCCTTGGGACATGTCCATTATTGCTTTCATAACAAACCAAATGCTTGCCTTATTAGAGAAAGATATTTTGATCACTAATTAATAAAGGCAGTCTTCATTAACAACCACAATTGGGACTGCAACTCGGATGTTAAGAGAACAATCAAAATGATCTTACTTCAACTTTCCTTTGCTTTACAGACTTCTGAAGGTTGTAAATATGAGAACTGGTGGCAAAGTAATTTTTTAGCATTATTGTAACTGTAAATATTTAGTAAATGAGGCAGTTGTTAATGAAGACTATAATCTGTAATCACTGTCAGCTGTCATAGATAAATATTTGTTGTCCAGCAGCAATATTTTAATGAATGGTTAAAATAGAATGTAATAGAATTGAAAATAGTGAAACAATATTTTAAAATCTTATAGAACTAGGAATAGAAAAGCAGTATAGAGAAACAGACTGAATTTATTTATTTATTTATTTATTTATTTATGAGACTTATATACCGCTTTAAGTGCAAGCACTCTCTAAGCGGTGTACACCAATAAGCAATGATATATATATATATATATATATATATATATATATATATATATATATATATATATATATACATTGCCCCCAACAATCTGGGTCCCTCCTTTTACCTACCCTGGGAGGATGGAAGGCTGAGTCCAACCTTGAAGCAGTGAATTTGAACTGCTGACCTGCTGAACCCATTCAGCTAAAGTGGCCTGCAGTACTGCACCCTAACTGCTGCGCCACCTCATTCATATATATGAATAAGACAACGATAAATTAAGCCGACTCCAAAAGGTGTAAACAATTTGTTTGCTCTACAATAGCCAAATTTTGAGATAGATTGGTAGATGGCTATATGATGGATGGATGGATGGATGGATCGATCTATAGATAGATAGATAATAGATAGATAGATTAGATAGATAGGATAGATTCCATCCTAACTCCAATTAAAGTCCTGTGGGAATTTAGTCCTGTGGCATTTATGGAAGGGGAGATATAGAGAGAGAGGATCCGTTCTTAAAGGCCATAGCACCCATGTCAGCAGAAAACATATTATGTATAAGAACATCTCTAAAAATATCTTATTAACAGGATGACTGTCACTTTTATAATTTATCTTTCACTGTGTTCTGGACATCAGGATTGGGATGAGACTTTATATCTTAACTGCAAGAGAGGATGGTCTATTTGTGAATAAGGAATAACTCTTAAAATCTAAGTGAAGGTATTGTCATCCTTTTCAATTTCGAGACAGGGTTAGGGCTACAACCTAAATTTCTTTGCCAGCTGGACTTAGCTATTTTCGTTATTGGTCCTTCTTCCTTCCTTCCTTCCTTCCCTTTCCTTCCTTCCTTCCTTCCTTCCTTCCTTCCTTCCTTCCTTCCTCCTTCCCTCCCCTCCCTTCTTATATTTATCATTCATTCCTTTTTTGAACTTATAAATTCTATAGACAGCAATGTGGAAACTGGTCTTCTGGTATGGTGCTTGCATTTGGATGTCCTGAATATAACAATCACAGATAACAGCAACAATTGATTCATGGTCAAGACTGTCCATAAATTTCATCAAATAAATTGCCCGGACAAATTAATTAAAGTATGTACTTCATCTTACATAAAGATGTATTAGAGTTTTGTCCCATTGTTCGATAATAATGACATTCTGACAGCGTAACTTGATGTACATAGCAGAATTTGGTATTAGAAAGAGATCTTTATATCATGCTATCATACATAAAATAATCTAAATAAATTTGTTGAATTTAATTGCTTCCAGCATGTTCATGAATTGACATTCTTACACTTCATTTTCTTATTCCTCTACTATTTTTCCCTCCTTCCAGTTACATGCATTTCTTTCAAGGGATATGTATTAACAATTCAGCAAGAGAACATGAATTTTAATGGAAAAAGGGAAATTGTTCTGTATTTGATATAATGGCAACATATTTTAATTTGCAAATAACTCCTGCCGTAAAGTCTCAAAATTTGACTGGTTAGAACCAATGGCTTTTGAAGAGAACAATTCCCTTCATAGATGATGAAATTATTGAATGGCCAAGCTCCTTAATCGGTATGCATTCTTAGATTTTCCTTGACAGATGTGAACTTCAATAAGAAAAACCAATGGGGTGGGTTACACATTTCCTCTACTGTAAACTTGTCCATGCCAAAAATGTAGCAGTGGGGTCTAGAACAAATTCACCATGGTTACTTCCCCCCAGTTTGTCTCACTCTGGTTGTAATGTCCAGGTTGAGTATCCAAAATAAAGTCCTGTGTCCTTTCCATTTCTGATATCTTACTGTTTTATTGAATATTGACAGGCATAGGTGAAGGAAAACCTCTAAAATCCCAGATATCTACCTAAAGCATATAAACAATGACGTTCCAAGCCAAATCTCCCAGCTGTCCATATGGTGCATGTAACCCCCTTTGGGTTGGCCCAGGGTGAGTTGGCCAGACGAGTTTGTCCTTCTATTTGCAGTGCTAGTATAAATTCAAGTAATGTTATTGCTTTATCAATATTACTATTTTTCTAGTAACAATATTTTGAAAGCAGTATTTGTTAAATAGGAACATAATTACAATTTAGTCCACTTTAAAAACATGCTTACATTATTATTACTAACACATATGCTCCATCTATATGACCAATTACTTTTTTTCCTGATTTTTCAGTGTGTATGCCCCCGCACAATAACTAAATGTTATCAGCTTCCTTACAACTCTTTTGGATTTTTATGGACAGGTATGTCCTATTTCTGTGTTAGTGACTCATGCCCCCCGGGGTTTCAAGTAAAAAAGAAGGAGGGCAGAAATTTTTGTTGCTATTACTGTTCATCACCTTGTCCCCAGACGGAACGATCTCCAACAAGACAGTTAGTGATGTAGAATTGATTGATTGACCCCCCCCCCCCACAACTCCTTTGTTTTTTCCCAGCATTATATTAGGCCCAACGCCCGGCAACTCATCTGGAGTTACTTCCTGGGGGAGGCTTACTTTTGGGAGAAAAAAACAGTAAAATATATTTGTGAAAGTCACCAGATATTCTATCCACTTCTACTTAGAATGATAAAATCAAGTAAATTATATTGTTGTTGTTGTTGGTTGTTGGGTTATTTTTTTTGTTTTGTAGTATTTGTTGATATTCTGATATCACTCTGAGAGTCAGTCTGGTATTCCATCACAGATCGTGGCTTGTCTTTGAAAATAAAGACATGGAACTTTGATGGCTCCTCCATGGTATTCAACTGAGCTGTCTTAATTTGGCTTCCAATTCAATAACAAACACAGCCTAAGAGGCTCAACATACTCTTCCATTTTCTGACAGTCAGTATGATATTTTATTACAATGGTTCCTATATAACTGTCTGATTTGGAACAGTAACCAGAAACAATGAATAGTTAGGACTGTAGAAAAAGCAATCACAACCAGCCTGCCTTCATTGAGAATCTGTATACTGCATGAACCAAAAAAGAGGGCTCAGAAAATACTTACAGAGCCCTCATATCCTAAACATAATCTATTTCAACTTCTCCCCTCAGGATGCCGCTATAAACAATTAGACATAAATTTGGTTTTTCCCCATGCTGTCACCATCGGATTGGATTCTTATGCTTTATCAGTTGTTGTTTGTAACTTACGATCAATGATTGTAACTATGATGTATGATCTATGATCTATTACTTGCTGCTAATATATACACTGTGAGTTTATGCACTGGAGACAAATTCCTTATATGTCAAATCACAGTTGGCCAATAAATCTATTCTATTCTGTTCTGTTCTGTTCTATTCTATTCCTTATTTCTATTCTATTCCTTATTTCTATTCTATTCTATTCTATTCTATTCTATTCTATTCTATTCTATTCTATTCTATTCTATTCTATTCTATTCTATTCTTATTATGAAGTAAGCTGTTTTCATTTGGCTTCTGATCCAGTCAAAGTCTAATAGATACACTTATTTTTCTTGACAATTTTTCTCCCTTTTCTTTTCAGACACGGATGAATGTATGCAGTGCCAAGATGATCAGTATCGAAGCCAGAGCAATGACAGCTGTTTCCCCAAAATAATAACCTTTCTTTCCTATGAAGAACCATTAGGAATGGGTTTAGTCTCAATTGTCCTTTGTTTTTCACTGGTCACGGTCTTGGTGTTTATTACTTTTATTAAACACAGTGATACAGCCATAGTCAAAGCCAATAACCGAGAACTCACCTATATTCTTCTTTCCTCTCTCCTGCTCTGCTTCCTCTGCTCTCTTTTATTCCTTGGCCATCCCCACAAAGTCACTTGCCTCATTCGTCATGTTACTTTTGGTATCATCTTTACTGTGGCAGTTTCTTGTGTGTTGGCCAAAACCAGCACTGTGGTTCTTGCTTTCATGGCCACTAAACCAGGATCCAATGTGAGGAGGTGGGTGGGAAAAAGGCTGGCCAACACCATTGTCCTTTCCTGCTCTCTCATTCAAGCTGGCATTTGTACTGCATGGCTGGCCATTGCTCCTCCATACCCCAGGTTGGATATGAAATCTCTGCCAAACAAGATAATAGCAGAATGCAATGAAGGCTCTACCTTTATGTTTTACTTTGTTTTGGGCTACATGGGACTTCTGTCCATTATCAGTTTCATAGTGGCTTTCTTATCTAGAAATTTACCGGATGCTTTCAATGAAGCCAAATTCATCACTTTTAGCATGCTCATGTTTTGTAGTGTTTGGCTGATTTTTATCCCAACGTATTTGAGTGCCAAAGGCAAATACATGGTAGGTGTGGAGATCTTCTCCATTTTGGCCTCTGGGGCTGCACTGCTTGCCTGTATCTTTTTTCCAAAAGTTTATATTATCTGGTTGAGACCTGAACTGAATAATAAGGAGGGATTAATAAGGACAAAGAATGAACCAGTGAAATTGCATGCTCTTATATAATGTGTGGTAAAATGACAAACAGATCAACATATTCACTTCTATGTGATTGACCCCAAGATGCTTTTCCAAGAGGCGACTGGATTTTTCCTTGAAAACATTTTGTGTCTTATCCAAGAAGCTTCTTCAATTCTTCAGATGATTGAGAATCTTCATAGATTTCTACGTGAATGATTTTTTTTCATAAATTTCTATATTATATTATTATAATTTAGTAGTATATTTTTAAGCTCTGGAACCAACATATCACTCTTCTGAGGCATTTGAAATGGTTTCAGAATAGTTTTAAATATTTTGAATAGCCTTATGAATACTGATTATTAAACAATGTTTTCCTCTCATGGCACATCAGTTTAGTGGCCATATATTTCTTCTAAATTAGTAAATAAAATAATAAATATATTAAAGCTGGACTGGTAAGAAAAGTTCCAATAGTTATTGTCTTATTGTTTTCTTAATGGGAAGCACAGCTGAATTTTATACAATTTCAAAATTGAAACCTATCACTTTAAACAAATATTTAACGTTTTTGATAAAGGGGGATTTTGTTGTCAATAATTTTGGTACACATATTAAAAGAAAGATTTAAAGTAGATAATAAAACTTTTGCAATGATATAGAAGAAACCAGAATTTGGACTGTGTAAAAATGATTAATGTGTCCTGGCTAAAATGGATCAGCTTTTATTACAATTTGAAACAGAAGAACAAGTGAAAGATTCTATGACAAAATGTACTCAAAACTTTGGACAAAATATACGGAGGAAAAAAATGGGAAAATATGTGGGTAAGGGGATAAAAAAGTTGTTAGGTTGCAGTTCAAAAGAGAATGTTTATAGGATTATGTACCCTCCATACATAACTCCCAAAAATGTTTGAATGTAAAATATATATATAAAGTTTATGTGGAAACAACGACTTGACTCCAGAAGTTGTGGGTGCTCCAACACTGGAGATTTTTAAGAAGAAACTGGACAGCCATTTGTCTGAGATGGTATGGGGTCTCCTGCTTGAGCAGGGAGTTGGACTAGATGACCTCCAAAGTCCCTTCCAGCTCTGTTATTCTGTAACATGGACAACATGAAAAATCATTTTATCATGCCTGGCAGATTTATTAAAAAATGTCAAAAATATCTGGATTCAAATATATAATTATACAAAGGATTTTAAAGATCAACTTACAATTGAAACTAGTTGGGAACCATGGAAGATTATTTTTGTATATGAATATTGCTGTAAAACTATTGTATGTGCAAACACAGAAAGACTCTGAAATACCCACAATGATGGGTATTTGATTAGTGAAGATGATGAAATGATTAGTGAAGATGACCAAAAAAAGAAGTGCTGGCAAAGACTGGAGAAAGACAACAGCTAATTTCATTTATAAGTGACTGGTTTTGTTTGCTAGAATGCAGTGTTTGCCTTTTGCCAAATGTAAGGTGATACATTCAGGCCCAAAAGTTCTCTTTTGGTCTCATCCATGAAGAAACTATTCTTCCAATAGCTCTTATGCAACACCTATCTTACTATATAGCACAAATTTATTCCTCTTTCTACAGTATCTCCTTAATTCTGTTGGTGCATTGGGAAACTTTCTCTCTGTGATGATTCCGCCTTCATTCGTCCCTACATCCCACAATTCTGAATATACAAGGGTACAGGTGGCCTCACTCTTTTGTTTTCTCAATAAGCCATGACAATGATAGATAAGAAGTTGAATACTGCATCCAGTATGGATCACCACAATGTGAAAAAGTTGTTAAGACTCTAGAAAGAGCAACAAAGATGGTTAGGGGACTGGAGGCTAAAACATATAAGGAAAGGATGCAGGAACTGGATATGTCTAGTTTAATGAAAAGAAGGACTAGGGGAGACATAACAGTAGTGTTCCAATATTTAAGGGACTGCCACAAAGAAGAGGGGGTCAACTTATTTTCCCAAAAAACTGAAGGCAGGACAAGAAGCAAAGGATGCAAACCAATCAAGGAGAGAAAAAACCTAGAGCTAAGGAGAATCTTCCTGACAGTGAGAACAATTAACCAGTGAATGACTTGCCTCCAGAAGTTGTGGATGCTCCATCACTGGAGGGTTTTAAGAATAGATTCTGTTATTCTGAATTAGATTAACCTAACTTCATATTATTTAGATTAATATTTCTATTCTTAGTTGAAATTATTAAATCTAAATTTTGATCTATTTGAAGACATGTCCAGGAACGCATTCTAGTATTATTCCTGTTTGAAGAAAATCAAAGTTTCAAACTCAGTTCTCTTATTAGATATAAGACCAGAAAAAACTGTTCCAACTCATTGTGGGACATAAGGATCAGCAGAATATTGACTTAGCATTTCCCTTCAGGTTCAGAGTTGTTTACCTTGGTCCAACTGCACCCATGGGCTATGCTATTCTGTTCATATTTAATCAATGTGATCCTCTTGGAGCCCAACTCCGACTGGTGTCAAATTAGGGAGGCCATCAAGGACAACACACAAACAAAAAGAACATCTACTTACAATGTGTTATCCCTAATACACAGCAGAGTTAATTGTTTCTCTTATAATTGCTGCATACTTATAATTAGTTTCATTGATCAGACCTTCAACAATTATCCACAAGATAACAAGAGAGAAATCAATATGTGATGTGCAGTTGAGAAAGAGTTTATAATATACAAGTATTCTTCAACTGGTTTCATGGAAAAGAGGCAAGCCCAAACTGTGTCCATGTGAACATATCCAGTTCTCCACTGTTTTGGACAGAAATGGCTTCAGATCATTGAACTGCTTTGTGGAGTTTTTAAAATTTCTTTCTGTGTTGGTTGTGCCATGTAATATTGAGATAGGTTGCTGCTTTCTCTTTAAAACAGGTGACAAAGCTGAAATCAGATGCAGAAGACTCTTTTCTCCAGGAAAACACATCTGCAAGGATGGTGAAATTCATGGCACTGTTCCTTTTTCTATCCCTTGAAGAGTGCCAAAGAGTGACCACAAAGTGCCCTCAAACCCAATTCTTCACTGTTCCTCATGACTGGTATCAGCCAGGGACACTTCTCATTGGTGGGATGGCATCTCAAGTCATTTATTTATTTAATGAAGTTTCCTTCAAAAATATCCCTTCACAAGATATTGGCTTTGATCTTCCAATGTAAGACACTCAACCTTCCCTTCCTAAATCAAGTACTACTCAACTCCTAGAAATAGTCATGTATAGTAAATAAAAATGTAAAACATGTTATTTCTCCCATCCCTGTTACGGGGTATCTTGAGGTGGTCTTATTTCCATCAATGTCATTTTTTAGTCTGCTGACAGTCACCTACTACTTCGATATAAACTTTAGTCTCTTGCTATTATTCCTTCTTTGCTTTCTTGAAAAACATTAATTCAATGTTATCTTCATCTTGTTGCACATGCAGTATTTTGCTGAATTGCAGAGAAAGTGAGGAGCTTTGTTAAATTGGAGAAAGCAGTGTTCCATTGCTGGGAAGACTATATGAAACCTGGAAATAAGGATGAAAAAGAATGGAACAGAACAGAATAGACCAGAATTCTTTATTGGCTAAGTATGATTGAATGCACAAGGAATTTGTCTCCTGTGCATAATTTTCCTCTCAATGTACAAGCAAGCCACAAGTGTTAAGCTTGAGTAGCAGGAACTTAATTAGTTTAGACTGACTAGCAACCAGACTAACTATTTCATGCTTTTCTCTATGAAGAAATTAACAAGTTATTCTATTCTATTCTATTCTATTCTATTCTATTCTATTCTATTCTATTCTATTCTATTCTATTCTATTCTATTCTATTCTAATCTGGATAAAGAGAGAAAGGGAGAGAAGGAGAATATTAAAAATTGTGATAAAGGCACATTTTTCTTTTAGAACTGTTTCCTATAGCTTAATAATAATAGGGCATGATTTAGTTTTTGGAAAGTCATTGACTACAGGATTAGAAAATCTTTTCCCTGAGAATTGCTCATTTGGTTTGTGTGTTCAGGAAAGACTTTCAATATCACATGTATTGTGGTTGGAGGTATTTCACTGATTTCTAAATATTGATTCCTATTCAGTTGAATTTCATAATGCATATATTGAAACCACTCTCACTTTATCTGCTCCCCTCTTTTCCATCCATTAAGATGGAAACTAATCAAGGAGAAAACTTACTTAGAACTAAGGAGAAATTTCCTGACACTTAGAACCATTAATCAGTAGAATGACTTTCCTCCAGAAGTTGTGGATTCTCCAATACTGGAGGTTTTTAAGAAGACACTGGACAGCCATTTGTCTGGGATGCTATAGGGTTTTCTGTCTGAGCAGGGGGCTGGACTAAAAGACCTCCAAAGTCCCTTACAACTCTATTATTCTGTTAGCCTGAACTTTAATTCATCTAAATAATTCTGATCACATTGTATCAGCCCAAGAGTTGTGCTGGTCAAGATGATTAATTTCATATGTAAAAAGCCTTGTAACTGTATTTGCAGGATGCTGACCAAGTTCTACCAGAATTCTTTGGCTTTGGCATTTGCTGTAAATACAATCAATAAGTCGCCAACAATTTTGCCAAACATCACAGTGGGATTCCACATCTATGACACCTACTATGATCAGAGGATGACCTATTACAATCTTCTCAATTTGCTCTTTAAATTATTTCCTAATTATGCATGTGGACTCCCTAAAAACTTAATTGCTGTTGTGGGAGGTCTTGCATCTGACACCTCTTTTCACATGGCAGATGTTTTAGGACTCTACAAGATTCCACAGGTGAGGATGATGCATATCTGCAGGGACCAGCTTTTGCTACTTTTATTAATGTTATATTCATCACACGGGTGGTTTTGAAATATAAAAGAGAAGCTAGAAAATGAAAGAAATTAAGCTTAGACAATTTGAGAAATAAGGTGGGAGGATTAGAGAGGTTCAGAATCCTTCTTTCTAATTCAACTTGTTCATATTTCTCCATCTCTGTTAAATAGGTAAAGGCAAAATTTTTAATTTTAGCAAAGGGAAATTGAAAGGTAAGAATTTCATTTCTGCAGGTATGATTGATTTATGAAAATGCACCATGCACTTTGCCTTTAAGCTCACATATGGATCATTTGCTCCTGAGGACACTGTAAAACCCAAGGATCCTATTTTTTATCGCATGGTCCCAAATGATGAAAACCAGTACATGGGAATTATCCGTTTGCTTCTACACTTTGGCTGGACATGGGTGGGTCTTTTTACAGGAGATGATGATAGTGGAAAATATTTCTTGCAAAGAATGGAAGCATTGTTTTCCCAGTATCGAATCTGTTTAGCCTTCGTTCAGGTGTTTCCACGCCAAGCCCGTGTCTTGTCCAATGATGATATGGGTACAAATCTCCATGTATCTGTTATGGATCAGAGGGCCAGAGCATTTATCATCTATGGAGATACCATCAATCTTATATGGTTAATTGCCTATAATACTCTTCTAGTTTCTGATTACGCATATTTTGGGAAGGTGTGGATCATGACAGCTCAGATGGAATTTGCAGTAACAGGAGTGATCAGACGGATGGATTTTCAAATGTTCCAGGGTGCCATATCCTTCGCAATTCATTTCAAGCAACCTCAGGAATTCCAGATGTATCTTCAGAAGAAAAATCCATACAAGCCTGAAGGTGATGGTTTTGTCCAGTTGTTCTGGGAACAGGTTTTTGAATGTTCATTTCCAAATTCTGGGGAACCATTGGAGCAAGATGAACTATGTACTGGGAAGGAGAACCTGGCTAAGCCTCCTCAATCTGTTTTTGAAGTGAGAATGAATGGCCACAGCTACAGTATTTACAATGCTGTCTATGCGGTAGCCCATGCTCTTCACGCAATGCACTCATCAAAGACTAAATACAGAGTAAGAATGGGGGAGCAAAGATCTGAGATTTTGCAACCTTGGCAGGTAATATTCCCATAACAGAATGATATAACCGTGGAAGGGACCTTGGAGGTCTTCTAGTCCAGTGGTTCTCAACCTTTTTAATGTCGCGACCCCCAACCGATCATAAGTTGAGGACTACTCAACCAGTCATAAGTCGAGGACTACTCAACTGGGGCAGCACTGTTTTCAGAATGGGACTTTTGGCGGGCTCAGCAGGGCAGAGACAGAGTAAAAGCACAGCTAAGGAAAAGGGGGAAAAATGGTGGACTGCGTTATTTGGAGACACCGTGAAATAGTCGTTCGACCCCAAATGGGGTCCCGACCCACAGGTTGAGAACCACTGTTCTAGTCCAATCCCCTGCTCAGGCAGGAAACCCTGTATCATCCCAGACAAATGGTTGTCTAATCTCTGATAATTTCAATGATCCTGAAAATAAGTAGCATATCAATGTATCCAATCATCAATGAAATATACATTGATGATAAGAATTAATAGCTGCATCCTTGGGACATGTCCATTATTGCTTTCATAACAAACCAAATGCTTGCCTTATTAGAGAAAGATATTTTGATCACTAATTAATAAAGGCAGTCTTCATTAACAACCACAATTGGGACTGCAACTCGGATGTTAAGAGAACAATCAAAATGATCTTACTTCAACTTTCCTTTGCTTTACAGACTTCTGAAGGTTGTAAATATGAGAACTGGTGGCAAAGTAATTTTTTAGCATTATTGTAACTGTAAATATTTAGTAAATGAGGCAGTTGTTAATGAAGACTATAATCTGTAATCACTGTCAGCTGTCATAGATAAATATTTGTTGTCCAGCAGCAATATTTTAATGAATGGTTAAAATAGAATGTAATAGAATTGAAAATAGTGAAACAATATTTTAAAATCTTATAGAACTAGGAATAGAAAAGCAGTATAGAGAAACAGACTGAATTTATTTATTTATTTATTTATTTATGAGACTTATATACCGCTTTAAGTGCAAGCACTCTCTAAGCGGTGTACACCAATAAGCAATGAATATATATATATACATTCATATATATTTTACGTGGGAGAAAACCCGAACAACCAAAGACCTATATATATATATATATATATATATATATATATATACATTGCCCCCAACAATCTGGGTCCTCATTTTACCTACCCTGGAAGGATGGAAGGCTGAGTCAACCTTGAGCCAGTGAGATTTGAACTGCTGACCTGCTGAACACAGTCAGCTAAAGTGGCCTGCAGTACTGCACCCTAACTGCTGCGCCACCTCATTCATATATATGAATAATACAAGATAATATTAAGCCGGACTCCAAAAGGATGTAGAACAATTTGTTTGCTCTACAATAGCCAAATTTTGAGATAGATGGGTAGATGGATAGATGGATGGATGGATGGATGGATGGATAGATAGATAGATAGATAGATAGATAGATAGATAGATAGATAGATAGATAGATTCCTCCTAACTCCAATTAAAGTCCTGTGGGATTTAGTCCTGTGGCATTTATGGAGGGGAGATAGAGAGAGAGAGAATCCGTTCTTAAGGCCATAGCAGCCCATGTCAGCAGAAAACAATTATATATTAAGAACATTTCTCTAAAATATCTTATTAACAGGATGACTTTCACTTTTATAAGTTATCTGTCACTGTGTTACTGGACATCAGGAATTGGGATGAGACTTATATCTTAACTCGCAAGAGAGGATTGTCTATTTGTGAATAGAAGGGAATAACTCTTAAAATCTAAGTGAAGTATTGCATCCATTTCAATTTCTGAGACAGGGTTAGGGCTACAACCTAAATTTCTTGCCAGCTGGACTTAGCTATTTTCGTATATTGGTCCTTCCTTCCTTCCTTCCTTCCTTCCTTCCTTCCTTCCTTCCTTCCTTCCTTCCTTCCTTCCTCCCTCCCTCCCTCCCCGCCTCCCTTCTAAATTTATCATTCATCCTTTTTTGAACTTATAATTCTATAGACAGCAATGGTAACTGGGATTCATGGTATGGTGCTTGCATTTGATGATCACTGATATAACAATCACAGATAAAAGCAACAATATGTATCAGGGTCAAAGACTATCCATAAATTTAATCAAATTAAATTGCCCACAAAATTAATTAAAGTATCTACTTCATCTATACCCAAAGATGTATTAGACTTTATCCCATTGTTCAATAATAATGAAATTTTGACAGCCTAACCTGATGGTACAGAATTTGGCAATTAGAAAGAGATCTTTGAGATCATCCTAGCATACATAAAATAATCTCCTAGAATAAATTATGTTGAATTTAATTGCTTCCAACATGTCCTGAATTGACATTGTACACTTAATTTTGTTATCCCTCTACTATTTTTCCCTCCTTCCAGTTACATGCATTTCTTCAAGGGATATCATTTAACAATTCAGCAGGAGAGAACATAAATTTTAATGGAAAAAGAGAAATTGTTGCTGGATTTGATATAATGCATATGATTTTATTTGCAAATAACTCCTTCCGTAAAGTCAAAATTGGATGGTTAGAACCAATGGCTTTTGAAAGAGAACAATTCTTCATAGATGATGAAATTATTGAATGGCCAAGCTCCTTTAATCAGGTATGCATTCTTAGATTTCCTTGACAGATTTAACTTCAATAAGACAAACCATTGGTGGTTACACATTTCCTCTACTGTAAACCTTGTCCATGCCAAAAAATGTAGCAGTGGGGTCTAGGACAATTCACCATGGTTGACTTGCCCCAGTTGTCTCACTCTGGTTGTCAATGTCCAGGTTGAGTATCCAAAATAAAGTCCAGGATTTCTTTCATTTCTGAAGATCTTACTGTTTTATTGAATATATGACATGGCATAGGTGAAGGAAAACTAACTCTAAAATCCCAAGATATCTACCTAAAGCATATAACAATGACGTTCCAAGCCAAATCTCCCAGCTGTCCATATGGTGCATGTAAACCCCTTTCTGTTGTTTTGAGAACCTTCTGTTATCTTCATCCCCAAGGTTAGAATGTCCTCAAAAGGTTTCCACACGTCTGTGTTTCAGCAAATGTCTGCAAAACTGGAGAGGTTTCATTTCTCTAACTAGCCCATTCAAAGCCTCATCTCTCCCTCTCTCCCTTACTCTAATGACAAGGTGGAAACAATAAGGCACATTATGGCTGCCAAATTTTCACTGTTGACATTGGTCAATTGGCAACAGACAAATCTCCACAGGACAGCTCACTGTGGCCTACTCACCATGGGACAATTTAATGTAGGATAATTCAAGAGAGGGACAAGTGAATTGCAGCTGGTCTGGTCTTGCTTTAGGTTTGAACCTTCTCAAGTTAGAAGTCTTCAAGGCTGGGGTGAGCTGCAATTCTACTTGTCCCTCTCTTCAGTTATCCTGTGCTGAATTGTCCTCCAGCAAATTGTCCCATGGTGAGATGACCAGGATGAATTGGCCATGGTGAGTTGGCCAAGACGAGTTGTCCATTCTAGTTGCAGTGCTAGTATAAATTCAGTAATGTTATTGCTTTATTAAATATTACTATTATTTCTAGTAACAATATTTTGAAAGCAGTATATTTTTAAATAGGAACATAATACAATTTTAGTCCACTTTAAAAAACATGCTTACATTATAGTATATACTACACATATGCTCATCTATATTGACCAATTACTTATTTCCTGATTTTCAGTTGTGTATGCCCCCCACAATAACTAAATGTTATCAGCTTCCTTACAACTCTTTTGATTTTTATGGACAGGTATGTCCTATTTCTGTGTGTAGTGACTCATGCCCACCGGGGTTTCAGAAACAAAAGAAGGAAGGGCAGAAATTTTGTTGCTATGACTGTTCACCTTGTCCAGAAGGAAAGATCTCCAACAAGACAGGTAAGTGACATAGAATTGATTGATTGACTCCCCCCACAAACTCCTTTTGTTTCCCTGCATTATATTAGGCCCAACCCCCAAAATCAGCTGGGAGTTACTTTCTGGGGAGGGCTTACTTTTGGGAAAAAACAGTAAAATAGTTGTGAAAGTCACCAGATATTCTATCCATTTCTACTTAAGGAATGTTATAATCTAGTAAATTATATTGTTGGTGTTGT